TTAGGGACCAGGGAACACAGTTCGGCCCTCCTCTCCGACCCCCAGGCTCAGTCCTCTAGCATCACTCAAAAACCAGGTCTCATTGGGGTTTTCATTCATTCGTTCATTCACTCATTCAACCAGGGAATTAATGCAGTGCCTCCTAGCAGTGGAAAACTGTTTGGTGAGTGGGGAATAAGAAAATGAACCACAGGTGAGGCTGAGTGCCACCGCCATGAGATAAAAAAAAGCCAAGAAGAAGCAATAGATGGCGGGAAGGGTGACTGAGAAGAGCTCCCAAAAGAGGGCACCTCTGCTGAACCCCGCATGCGGTGAAGAAGAAGGGACGGGCATCCCTGGCTGAGGTTGCAGATTTGGGCCACATTCTGGCAGGTTCCGACCCTTGGGCTGTGTTCTTCTCCAGCCTGAGAGAGGAAGGAGACGAAGGAGAGAAGTCGTGGGAGAAAGAGCCAGTTGCAGAGGCCATGGGAGTCTCGGGATGGCTGGAGCAAAGAATGAGAGCCAGATTACACAGAGGCAGGATCTAAGGATGCAACATAAACAAGTGCAGACCCAGAGTCATCATGACCCCGTGGCAGTGCCCTCTGGGACTGGGCATGGAAACACAACAGGAAAACCCTTGGGTGTGCTGTGCCCAGGCTCATGCCTCTACGGAAAGCCTACTTCAGGTGGACAGAAATGACATCCATAGCAGTGACTCCTGATCCTCAGACATTCACAGTCCAGCTCAGACTTAACAGCTACACAGTCAGCCCTCCATAGCCATGGGCTCCTCATCCAAGGATTCAACTAACCATGGGTCAAAAATATTTGAGTGGGGGGAACCAGGCATAGTGGGGTGCTCCTATAAGTCCAGCTATTCAAGAGGCAGAGAATGGGAAGGTCATGATTTGAAGCCAATCTGGGAAGAAAAGTTAGCAAGACCCTAATCTCAATCAACAAGCCCAAAGTGGTAGTGTCTGTCTGTAATCCAAGCTACAGTGGAGGCATAGATAGGAGGATCACAGTCAGAGGCTGACCCCAGGAAAAAGGGCAAGACCCTATTCAGAAAAATAACTAAAAGGGGTATGGCTCAAGTGATAGAGTGCCTTCCTAGCAAGCGGGAGGCCCTGAGTTCAATCCCTAGTACCACCAAAAGATATATATATTTTTTTAATTGCATCTGTACTGAATATGTACAGACATTTTTCTTTGTCACGATTCCCTAAACAGTAGCATACAACTATTTACATATCATTCCCATTATATTAGGTATTGTGAATAACCTAGAGATAACCTGAAGTACCTGGGAAGGTATGTAGAGGTTCTAAACAAACACCGGCTTCTCACCCAAGAGCCTGACCGTCTGCAGACTTGCCGGGGGCCCTGGAACTAATCCCCTGCAGACACCCAGAGACTCATTCTTTTTGACCTTCTGCACCTGATCACAAGATCTGTCTCGCAACAGGTACTCAAAATTGTTCTGGATTTAAGTGAGCTAAGCACCATCTCGTTTAAAGACCACTACATCTTAAAAGAATTGCGAAGACCTGGGCTTTGACTCTAGGGAGGAGAAAAGAAGAAAAGAACAGAGCGTTTTCAAAAGTCCTGCACTTTGCAAGGGACAACCTACCCTTGCAAATAGCTCCCCCATGCTTTGGACAATCAATGGGTCAAAATACAGATTCCAGGTCCTATCAGGAGATCCACACTGGGGCCTAGGAGGCAGAATGTTTTAACATGCAACCCTGCTCCCCAGGTGACACCCAGATGTGTAGTGCCCTAACCACATCTGGGGAACCTCTGTCCTCAGTGTATGTTCAGCTGAGGACCTGTGGCAGCTGAACCTTCTGGTCCTGGGAGAGCAGAGTTTTAACAGAGGTGGGAGCTCCTGGGCTCCAATGTGAGGTGGCACAACACTGACTACTGTGTCTCAGTGCTTACTAGGACCAGTAAGCTCTGGTCAGATGGGCTGATGCAGACACAGCCCATCTTTGTTGACAGATGAGGTCAAGGTGGCACATCTGGGGCCAGGGCTGCAGGTGTGTTCCAAGTCTGTCACCTGCACTAACACACAGAGCAAGAATAGCAGGTTGTGCCATTACTTCTGGCCTCAGTGCTCCCCTCTGTAGAACAGAGAAAACCCTTCCCACCTACTTCCTGGAGGCTTTGGGCACCTAGCAATTCCAATGACTCCAAAGCCCCGGGGAATCCACAGTGTTTTCCCCAAACACCATCCTGGCCACCTCCATGACCCCTTGGCCAGTCTAGGTGCCGCCTGCAGGCTATGGCTGGAGGCTCTGCCCACCCATCCCTGGATGGAAAGAGCAAAGGGCACCCCCCTGCCATGCGCTGGGCCCCTTCACAAAGATCCCATTGTGCCATCCTCAATAGCAGGCTCTGTGTGGTGGCAATAATATTATTTTCTGTGCTGACATGCCACCTTCTTTAAACTGAGAACACTCAGCTGCATTTTCTTCAGCAAGCAGGGCCATGTCAGGCAAAAATGGAGCCTCCAGGGCCTGTGGCCTGGGAAACCCACAGCCAGCAAGGGGACAGGTAGAGTGTCCCCTTGCCAGTGCAGGTGACATGGCTCACAGAGGGTAAAAAGGACGAGAAGGGTGCAGGCAGTCTTGGTACTAATTTTAACTGATTGCTTGTTTCAGTGACAGGCATGGGCACAAGTTTGCACTTGAATTTGTTCAAAATGCTCAAAGCGTTTCTGGCCTCAATATGCAATAAAAGAGCTACAGTCTCACTGAAGAAGCAGGTCGCTGGTACCAAGGAAGCTGCAGTAAGCTACTTCTCGTCACAAGGTTTCCTCTGTAAAGCAAGCCCCAGCCACTCACTTGCAGCAAGGCAGAATGGATGACCAGAGAGCAGGAAAAGGAAAAAAATTTTCAAGTTTAGCATCTCCAAGGGAAAGGCAGGCTGGTAGAAAAAAAAAACTGGGGGGGAGGCAGTACTGGAATTTGAACTCAGGGCTTCATGCTTGCCAGGCAGGGGCTTTACTGCTTGAGCTATCAAAGCAAAGTTGTTTGGGGTGTGACCACTCCCACACACACTGCCACCATTGCTTACCTCCATTCTTTGAGGTTAGCTCCTTAAACCCCCTACTCTTTAGCCAAACTGATCGCATCACAGAGCCACATCAACGTCACCGACCACATTCCACACAAGGAGAAAGAACACGCCGTCTACTCTCTCTCTGCTTTCCTGACCATCTGCCCACAGGGCCCTCCGCTGACGGCTTCCTGGCCCAGGGTAGGACTAGCTGAGTCACCCTTCGCCCCTGCACTGGGAACCTGCCGGGGTGACTGGAAGGAAGTCCACAGCCTCTAAGGGAGAAAGCCAAGGGGAAGCTGGGGCAGCAAGAAAGGGTGTGGCTCCACGGCAGGGAGGGCAGGAAGGAGGAAGAAGTGGAAAGAGGGGCTAAGCTGAAGCCAGGGTCAAGTGCAGGGAGGGAGGAGGCAGGACTGAGGAAGGGTGAAAATGAGTGAGGGGCCTCCCGAGTAAATCTGAGAGGAAACAGACCTTTCTGCATCTGCAGAGCAATGGTCATGTGATTAGAGGCAAAAGCTCCCTCTGAGCAGAGTGCCTTGCCAAGGGGGAAGCTGGACAGGCCTTCCTATCTACTAATGCAAGTCTTTCATTGTACAAATAGCCACTAAGGCCCAGGGAAGTAAGGTGACCTACCCAAGGTCACATAGCAAGTTGGTGCTGGAAGGGGACCAGAACTCCCGACTCCAGACTCAACTCCCCGTTGAAAGGTTTCTGCTAGGCAATTGCTCCAATGACAGAGGTCACTGGCCACTCACTGGGGAGATATTATTTAGGGCATACTGACCCTCTGTGACTAATGCAAGGATCCCTAGGGTGTCCACTGGAACTCAGGGTAGAGACAGAATTGTGAGTCTTGAGGAACCAAAAAGCAGGGTCCCCCAAGAATGGCTCCCATTAGACTGAAGGGCAATGCCTGGAACAAGACAGAATTAGTGACTCTCACGCCTGTGGGCACTGTCCTGGCAGTGACAAGGAAGCTGAAACAAGAGACTGCTATCCCCAAGGCTTCTACACTGAGGACCAGGACAAAGGGAACACCAGGGGTGGGTGTGTGGTTCAAAATGCAGGGGAAAGCAGAGCAATGTTCCCGTGGCTTGGTGAAGACAGAAAAGAAGCTTCCAGAGAGGCCACTGGTAGAACGACCACCCTGGAAAGCCACCCAGTGAAGCCACCCCGGGAAGCAGGCCTCTTAAAGCAGAAACAGGAATGTTCTCCCCACTTTGACCCCTCTCCTGAGCCAAACTGCTAGCTCTTCATATATGACAGAAGGTATACACTAAAATATGTATCTGATGGAACACTATGCAGCTTGCCCTCCTCCTCCAAAACAAAATGACAACTCAAAGACACACTGGAATCTGACTACTCACAAGCAAAGTCTGAATGTGCGTGCTGTATCCAGCGAATACCCTCTAGATTTGGCTGAACAAAGAACGCAAAGCAGGCTGGGGCTGAGGCTCAAGCGGTAGAGCACCTGCCTAGCAAGCACAAGGTCCTTAGTTCAAACCTCAGCATCACCAGAAAAAGGGGAGGGGGTGGTTTACAAAGCCTTTAGAATAAAACATGATGGATGAAGGACACTAGCTGTGAGTACCAGCAATTTTTTTAAGTCAAAATCAAATATTTACAAGCAAAGGCTCTAAAATGATAGCTTTGAAGAAGACCCCAAATGCTGTGTTTTCCCCAGCAAATAACATTTTGAGGTCAAGGTAGATGAAATTCCTCAAGTAGAGAATGAAAGAAGCCATTCCTCTCATTCCACCAAAATTCCCTAGAATTGTACTTTCAAGTTCAATTGGAGAATTCCAAGTTCAAAAGCAAATAAGGATAAGGAAATAAGACAAAAAGTTAACCTGCCAAGGCCCTTTGTTTGCCAGGTTAAACCTATTAAACAACCGGCTCCTTTGCACACTGTCATGGTTCCCTGGCACTGCAGGAATGGTGTTTAAGCCTCTTACTGATCATGGTGGTTCCCCCAGCCAGGGCCGCCTTGGTTCCCTGGAAGAAGTCATCAGCAGACGTCATCCCCTGGTCAGGCATCTGGAAACGAGTGTGCACATCAATCCCTCCAGGGATCACCATTCTGGAATGGGCTTCGATGGTCTTCACCCCTCCCGGCACAATCAGGTTTTCTCCTATTTGCCTAAACAAACAGGGTTGGTGAAAAAAGCACTCAGTGAAATGTGGAATCAAACAAGATCTGACACCGATTGCCACTATGCCCTCCACTGTGCGCCAGGCACTTTTGGGACAATTGTTATAACTCATCATAGGCGCTTCAAACTTCCTCCTCTCCTCATCCTCAAGTAAGAGGGGGTGCCAAATAAACTAGAAAAGTAAGTTTACATGCAGCATCTGATACCCCAGACACCCCTAAGAGCAAATGATAACGAGGCCCCAAAACATCTATATAAAATGTCACTCAGCCATCAGATAATTAACACACACCACTGCGTTCATTTTCCAATAGCAATTTGCTCCAGACCTAACTGCCTTTTCCAAACGTTATTTTCACCATCTTCTTTTCAATAGAGGAAAAACAGGTGTGGAAGGGTGGAGGTGGAACAAAACAAGACAAAAAAAAAAAATCTGAACACTAGAACTGTAATGATTTTACAAAAGAGGAAGCAGGTGCTCAGCAATTCAGAAAATAAAGGCAGAAAAACAAACATTGATCAGACTGAAGGACAGGATTCACTTCCAATTTTAAAAAAATATTTTTCGTGCATCTTTCTACCAATTTTTTAAAAAAAATCAAGAAGGAAATGATAAAGTTCTAAAGCAAATGAGCAATGACTAAGAACAGCACTGGCCTGAGCCCTTCTAGGCCAATGTCCTCTGCCAGACCAGATTGTGCCATCTTGTAACTGGGGGAGGAAAGGGAAGGAGAAAGTCTCAGCATGTGAAAACAGGAGCTGAGACTGTCCCAAGCACACACATGGAGAAAACATTAAATGGAGAAATGCTAAAACCTATTTTCGGTTCATAAATCAGGGTGTGAGCTTCCAGGCAACAGTCACAACCACTCCAGTTTTCCACTCCTCTGGACTGAGCTGCTGCTAGCACTTGACGAATGCTACTTATTTAAAAGAAGTCACTCCCTGCAGCGTTTGTCTTTAAGCAGATGTGCTGTTTCTCCAGAGCCTGTGAGCTGTCCCAACACAAAGGACATGAGGATCCCGGCATGCACTCCGTGCTTTTAACCATCCAGAATCCCCAAATATCCAAACTCAGAACGACTGCTGCTCCTCCTTCGTAACCTGATACACAATAAACACAAGAGCAGCCTTACTTGTGCTAGTTGCCACTTCAAGAATGAAACCCAAAATTCCCTCCCCCCCCCCCGGATTAGGCAGTCATTTGTCTGTGTTACTTGGTAATTAACTTGGTGTCCTTCTGTGGCCCCTCCAACTTGGATTCCTGATTAAGAAAGCAGATGTGTGTCTTCATAGGAGACGCTCTATAACACATCTGTGTCCTTTGATTGGGCAATTCATCCCAAACAACTACATTCTAAGAAACCTTTTAGTATATTCAGCATATCATAAACCAAGTATTTGAGCTCCCAGCAAGAAGATATTGTGTCACCTCTGTTAAAAATAGTAAATTACATAATGCATGGGTGTGTGTGTCTTTGAATTCTCTAAATCTAAATTTCCAAATTCATTAATTACCACCCATCAAAGTAGGCTTAAAACAGATGCTAAGTTCTATTCCAGAGCCTCACACCTGCAAAGCAAGCACTCTACCATTTGAGTCACATCCCCAACCCCAGCCCAGGGCATTGTGCATGCAAGGGAAGCCTTCTACCAGCTTGGTCACATCCTCAGCCCAAGTTCAGTGACTCCTTGGGTCACTAAAGCTTGTGCAAACCATACCTGAAGCTTGGAAACACTGGGAGGTATACAGATATACATCGATACACAATACTGTTACACTTACTTGATCAACCCATCTTCCATGTATATGTCTGCATAGAACGACTGGTCATCATTCACAATTTTACCTCCTTTGATCAGAAGACGATCACTCTGAAACAAAGAGGTAGCAAGGTCACAACACACAACCGACCTAGGAAAGACACAGGTACTAAGACAAGTGAGCTCAGGGAAAATTTCTGCTACTTAAATGTGATGTTCAAAATGAGTCAATTTCAGAAAGATTTGGAGACAAAGGTGAACCTGTATGCAGCAACCTATTCACGACCAATGAGTCAGAACAAACTGGTAAAACTCATCCTAGATAAATGAACAGTCTCTTTCAATAAGACCTCAGACATGAAAGCAAAAAAAAAAAAAGGAAAAAAATAAAAGAAAAAAATGACAGTACTTCTTAAAAGACTTTTGGCTAAACCTCATTTACAAAAAAAAAAAAAATCCACCCACATGTAGGAAAGTCACGTCTTGGCAAGGTTTGTGTGGGGGAAAATTGACCAAAAGTCTGTTGTCATGGGATATGTGACACAAACACATTGGTTGAACGATAACAAGGTTTCAATTCAGTGTGTCCCTTCACATTTGCATATATCCTGGGGGTAAATCACAGCAAGTGTACAAGAAGGAATGGCAAAAAATCTACCATTTTAACTAAGCAGTAAAGAAACAGGTAAAGTTTTATGATACAGTGGATGAAATGGCAAATTTTTTAAATCTAACATCATTATAGATTGTTGATGTACTTATATTTTAATCGGTGATATTTGTAAAAGGAATTTAAAAAAATGAAGGGTAGGCAGCATGCGAGGGCCCAGAATGTCACTGAAATGCTGCATCAGGACTCATGGCTGTCCCAAATATTATTAATGGATGAATGCTAGGATCCTGTGTTTGGTGACTGTGCATGTACATCATTTCAAACTGGATTTAAGCAGTTACAAACTAAGCCATATACTGCTCATTCAATATTCGATACCTTTCAAAGGATGGCATTCATCTTGACCATGGTTAACGAAGAACTCAGCTACAAAGCAATAATCTTGCAAGTGCTGTTTACATTTAACAGCTACCAAGAAATGGAAATTATAGAAAATCTTTAAAATATATAAGCTACTTGGAATCCAGGGGGGGAAAAAGATACCTTTACACATAAATGCACACACACCTGAGTTTGCAAAGTATTTATTGTTTCTCTGGCACACTGAAAAACAAGATGGTTTTCATTTTGTATCTTTCATCCTAATGTGGACATTGGAAAGTCAAATGGGAATAGTCAACACGTCCTGCAGCCTGGGCAAGGTAAATGGTGAAACCTTTACAAATCCTGACGCCTACACCACAGTCATGGGAGCTTCAGCTCTAATGTGTGAGGCGGGTAGAGCAAGATTCTATTCCCATGACAGGTAGGGAAACTGAGGCTCAGAGGGGTTAAGCTGTAATAAATTCTCCTCTACCAGATCGGGAGCTTCTGTGACCTAGGAGGCAAGGAGAAGCCCTACCCTTCACTACCTGGCCCTTAGTCATGGCGGCAGCACCTGCCCAGCCATCACCACGAATCCCCCAGCGAACATCATGCCAAGAAAAAAGCAAAACATCACAGCCGGTTCACTCTAGTGCCTTCTAGAAGGCTTCTTACATAAGAGGCTGGCCGAAGGATGGAGGGAAGGCTATAGGACCTAGAATAAAGCAACCAGATTGTTTTTTAAGAGTAGAGGGGGCGCTCCTTTTAAAAGTGGGCTTGTTGATAATCTAATTTTCTTTTCTCCCCACTCTGTCAAAATATAACTACCTTGCCCATTCACAATGTCACAAATTATCTGGGGCTTGCAGCAAATCTGCTCCCCACCCTCACTCCCTACCTCCCAGCCTCCTCCTTCTAGCGCAGGGAAACACATAACATTGGGTCCCCTCTGCCCGCCCTTTGGGATTTGGGGTCTTCTGCCTTAGAAAAAAAGCTAGTACCCCCCTCGACTGGTGGAAAATCCCGAGCACACGCCCCCTCCCCCGTGCATTTGTTCGCACATCTCTCCTGCGGATGGATGGGTGTGTCCTTGTGCACCCAGAGGAAGCCTGGGTGCCCTGGCCCAAAGGAACAGCCAGAGCGAAAGCGCGCCCTTGAATCGAGCCCTTAACGCACATTTCGACTGGGAAGATTTTTTCGTGTGTGCGTGGCCCAGGTCCTACCCGGGAATCAGCTGGCCAGTGCGATTGCACCGCCTTATATAACAATGAATTCCTCCCACCCTGGGATCTTATTCCAGGATGTAAAGAATGGGACCGGAGAGCCTTTTCCAGGAAAAGATGGAGAGAGGGCGGGGGCATGAACCGGTGCTCATCTCCAAAGCATCGCACGCATGTTTTCCGGTGATGTACAAACCCACAATCCCAGGCCCCAGATCGGCGCCAACACCTCGGGCCGCGGCGGTCATTGTCTGCCTGGGCCAGCCGGGCCATCTGCCTGGCGCGTCGCGCAGCGCCATTACCTCCCCGAGCCGGGCCCGCCGCGGTCCCCAGCGCCCACCCTCCCAGCCCGCTTTGTATGCGCCCACACGATCGCCTTCCCGGGTAGCGGAAAGGACAGAAAAGACGCAAGCAAGCGAGCCCAGAGCTCTCTCAGGATCCCAGCCCCAAAGCAAAGAGCGAGAAAACCAGGATAGCAGCCAAAAAAGCTGTACGCGATCAACAAAAAGCCCCCACCAGGACCCCCACCCTCCTCCTCTGCTCATCCCTGCGTCCCTGCGTCCCCTTCGCGTTTCCACATCATGCCAGTACACCCTGTCCTTTTCAGCATCCCTCCGCTGTCACTACGCCTCGGGGCTGAAACCCGCTCCTTCTTGTAAGGCGCGGGAGGAGGAAGGCTCCAGAAAGCCCTTTATGGTGGGGGCGGAAGACACCGGAGGATCCATTTCCCCAGCTCCGCTCCAGGAGTCCAGCCTCGCAGCACGCAGCCCGAGAACAATATCCGAGCCTCAGCCATGCATATTCAATCTGGCATCCATTTGCTTCCAGCCCGCAGGCCAGCGCTGCAGCATCTCGCCCTGACAATAAAAGGATACAGGGAACTGGCGCGCTACCTAAGGCTACCTCCACGCACCCGTGCTCCCAGTTTAATGTCTTGCCAATTGTGTGCTTTATAATTACTATTGCGTCTTTCACCACCAATACCACCACCGTCTTCGTTAGCAACCGATTTTTTAAAAAATTAAAAAGTTGGGTCCCTTTCCCTTCCCCCTCCTTTAAAAAATTCCTTAGATGTTCTGTGCCACAAAAGGTTGCTGGCCCAACGCGGATTTCCCGAGTATCAAACTCACCGTGATGCGTGGAATATTTTTCTTCCCCTGATAAGACATCTCTCTTCTGGGAAAAAATGAATTTCAAGAGAACAGCTTTAAAGCAAAAAAAAAAAAAAAAAAATTGCCGAGAAAGGGACTTGTTATTTTTGTTTGTTTTTGCAGGATTGAAAAAGGTACAATCGCTTAGCTGCTCGCAAACTTCAGGAACGAAATGGACAAATGCAATCCTCTGCCTCTCTTTCTTCCTCTCCTCCAACACAGCCCCAGCTAGGGCGGAAAAAAAGAAAGCGAGAGAGGGAGAGAGAACAGGAGGGAAGGGGGTGGAAATAAACTACAGCAATAAAAGCCTCGGTTGGAGCCTGCCGCCGCGGCGCATGCGCCGCCAGCCACTCCCTTTCCTCTAAGGCAAAAGCCATCCGCTTCGAGAGAGACGCTCACTGATTGGCCACAGTCGTGGTATATGCAAATGAGAACAGGCGGGGAGGGGCGCAGTGCCAAAAGCGCGAAATGCTGCGGAGTGCGGCGGAGGGCGGCTGTCGGTGCGTGCGCCCGAGCGGGGCGCGCGCCTTTCGCGCCCTTTCTTTGGGCCGGGGCAGCCGGGACTGGGGCTGGCAGCTGCCCCAGATGCAGCATCTACAAAGCAGGGACAATGGCGGGGGTGGGGGAGGGTGGTTGTTCCAGGCAGAGGGGGAGGGGGCGCAACCCCGAGATGGAGGGGCTTCGGTGCAGCCCGGGCGGCACGCACACGCCCGCCCGCGCGCCAATCCGCGGAGGCCGCCGCTGCAGGCCCGCGTGGGGTGACTGCGCCGAGCCAATGGCTTCGCTGGCGGCGAGCGCGCGACTGCACCGCCGGCCGGCGCCGCGCGGCCCGGGAGGGGCGCCGGGCCTCCCCCGCCCTGCCTCGCGCGAGGCCGCTCGGCCTCCGCCCTGCAGCCGGCTGGGGAATTGGAGCGGCTGCGAGCGCCGGGAAGAAGGGAAGGGAAGGAGGGCGGGCGTGGCCGGCCCTAGTCCTGGAGCGGCTCGGGGCGCGGGTCCGAGAGGAGGCTGCAAAGGCGGGATCCACCCTGCGGCGGGGCCGGCAGTGGAGAGGAAAGCCCGGAGGAAGCCCCGCCGCCCTGCGGAGGGCAGGAGGCATCCGGGAAGGCCGCAGTCGGCTGGGCACGGGAGGGGGCCTCGTGCCTGCGGGCCACAAGGAACTTGGGGACAAGGCTGCAGCCTGTGCAGGCAGAACGGGCCCAATCTGCGCCCCGTTCGCCCTCTTAACGGCCACGCCCACCCCGGCCTCTTTCCGGGCTGAGCATGGGCCGCCTTTGCTGCGCCTGCAGATCTGCGGACCCCAACGCCAGAGGAGCCTAAAGCCTCTGCAGACAGATCCCAGGGCACATTGGGAGGCAGAAAGTGAGGAGAGAGAGAAAATGCAGAAGCAAGAGGAAGGAAAGAAAGGATAGCTCATATCCCCAAGGAAGGGGAAACTGAGTCAGGGTTAAAAACACTCAAGTCCATACTCCCCAGTAGGAATCTGCTCACACTTGAACATGTTCAAGGCCTCCGTAGCCCTAGCGATTGAACAGGCCTGGGAGCTCACTCGGGCCACCCCTAAGTGACTAAGACATCTGGACTGGCCCAGCCTTCCTCTCCTTGAGATCATACAGTACCTACGATCCTCACGTAATCTAGGCCATCAGGCAGCCTTGGAGGAGGAAAGAAAAGAAAAAAGTATTTAATTGGCTCACACCTGTTCAGCAAAGATTAGCCAGATAGATACAGATAATCTAGGGGCTGCTTTGGCCCTCTGTCACAGGGTCTTCTCTGCACCTGGCAGCAGTGGGCAGCTGTCTTTCCTATTCTTATAAAATCTAAAGTCCCAGAAGGTGACTGTGGGGTATGCACCAAGCTTTCACCACTGCTGAATTCATTCAACTTCATTGTAACTGCATCTTATGAACAAGGGCTTCCCCCTCCAACTGTCTGATATGCACCAGCAGAATGGGCTGATGTCCTTAAATAATGGTGTCAGTCAGTAATGTCTCAGCATAAAATGTGCATTTTTATGGGAAAAGACAACAGCAGGCTCCAGCTAGGAGTCTGGCAAGGGGAGGCAAAGCCTATTAAATCACAAGAAAAGTCATCACTAGGCAGGCAAATAAATCATGAGATTCAAATTAATTTAAACCAAAATGGCCTCCAGTTTCTATTCTTGTTATACTCTCCTACCCGGATTCATTTGATCTTAATAGATTCAAATTTATCTTGCTTTTTGACATGAAATATTTTGAAATAAAAGCTCCCAGGAGCTTCTGTCAATCTTATTTATGTCATCTTATTTCTGTAGCCATTGATTGTTAGTCCATGATAACTGATATTTCTACCCATAAATATCCAGAAATGTAAGGTTTAAATTGATTTCTCTGCTCTGACTGGAAGCTAAGAGAGTCTTTGGCACATAGAAGTTCCCAAACAGTGTTAATCGACCAAGGAAAATAGCTCTACAATCTGAATTTCTTACCATACTTACCACATAATCAATGCAGAAAAGTAAAAGATAGGATGGGAGGGCTCTTCAGAAAAACACTCTGAAAATTCCCTATGAAGTTAAAAATCATTATCTGGGAACCTGATACTGGGATCTCTCCCTGGATGACTTCTGAGTTTTTAAAATTTAAATGCATGCCAGACATCAAACAGCAATGAAGACTGCTTATTTCACACCAAGACCCTTTCCCAAGCTTCCTGCCCTCTCATGCTCCTCCTCCCACCAGGAGAGAGCAAGAAGTGCTAGTGACTCCCAGCCATTTGACACTGGAGACCTTCTCCAGGGCAGCTTAGGAGTAGAAGAGCGAGTTTGAACCAGTTCCCTTGTCAGAATCTGACCCCAGCCTCCTCTGCAATGTCATGTCCCATCCATGGACACCCATCCTGTCCCCATGCTCAGTGGTGTGGGCAGATGCATACGGCATCAGAGCAAACCTCTACTGCTCTGCTCTCCTTCCTTCCTTCCCTATTCAGGGACACTTTCCTCCCAAACTAAGCTTAAACATCACCTGTCTGGGAAGTCTCCCCACTAAATCCCTGACTACTGAATTCCCCTCTACTGGGGCACACCTTCTGGTGTATCCTGACTGTCCATTTCTTCTGAGAGCTTCGAATTCCTCTTCCAGTCTTCTTCAACACTCCAGTCCACATTGGGTGCCCTCAACATCTGGTGCATAAGTTCTGTCGTGGCATTGCTATGACAAGGCCAAAAGGTTCCTCCACCTCCCCACCATGGGGAGGTTTTGTTTTTGTTTTGGCGGTACTTAAGAGTTTAAACTCAGGGCTTCACATCTGCTGGGCAGGCACTATACCACTTGGGCCACTCTGCCAGCCTTTTTTGCTTTAGTTATTTTTCAGTTAGTCTTGTGCTTTTGCCCAAGCTGACCTGGACCGAAATCTCCCTATTTTACACTTCCTGCCTTTGCTGGGATGACAGGCACTCACCACCATGCCCCAGTTACTGCTTGAGATGGGATTTCCCAAACTTCTGGAACTGTGATCCTCCAGATCTCAGCCTCCCAAGTAGCTAAGAATATAGGCATGAGCCACCGCACCCAGCTGTATAGTTGTAAAACTTTCCCAACAGGCCTTTGTTTTGGCCCTGCCCCTTGGCTGGGGCTTCCTTCTCTGCAGCTCACCTCCTGTTCTCCAGATCCCTAAAGCTGTAAGAGAACGTGATAGTGAAACTTTCTATCTATGGGGGTTTGGTTACCAAAATTTTAAGCCACACCACCCCTAACAAAACTGCCATGTACCACCAATCCTGATAACATACAGGGAAAGCAGCCAATCCTAACATGAATCCCAGCATCATAGAACATGTCTCTAGAAATTTTTCCCAGAACCCATTTCTGCAGTTGTTCTCTCATTCATGCTGGGCAAAGCACTGTACCCCTGAACAGCACCTCAGCCCTCTGGTATTCTTTGCTCCACTCTCCCCTTATTCTTTGTGCATGACTATATTGTACCACGTTTCCTGTTAACTGTCTATCCTGTACAACGCACACCTGTCCCATGCCTAAGGGGCCTTCACATTCTTTCCATTCAAAGCTTCAGCTCACAGAGAATAAAACTCTTTGAAAAGTCTTACTCATCTCTTAGCCATAGATAGGGCCCAGCAGGACTGGGGGCTTACAAGTTCTGACTGCATGCATGGATGGAGGAGAGGTGACACCCAATTGGGATGTTAAGCTGTTCCCATCATGCATCCTGCCAGGAAATGGGGGAGCTGCAGACTGTCACTTGAATGCTGCAGGATAACTGGCTGCTTTCAGTTCCTCAGCAACCTGCCCAGTATGAGCCCAGCCCAGGCCTAGCCTGTCATGGTTCTTGGTTTCTTCTTCCCCCTGCAGTAACTATTTCTGCTTCTGTGGCACCATCAGAGCTCTGTGGAAGTGAAATGCTCAGAGTGTGCCAGACTAGGGAAACTCCAAAACAGAAAATGCTGACGGGAAGAATGGAGCCTAGATGTATCAAGGAAGAAAAAGCCGCAAATCCCCAGGCTGCTGAAACGGACACCAAGGGCTGCGCCCTCCAACGCGGTCTGCAAAGCAGTGGTTCTGAGAAGGTGCCGGAATCCTTCTTTGCCAAAAAACAAAGGGCATTGACTAGGACACTTCTTGCGCAGCTAGAATAAGACAAGGATGATGACTTTCTTGTGTGACCCTGAAGGGCACAGACTGCAGGGGACATCCACAGGATGGCAGACCAGCATCTGCCCACTGCCTTCTTCAGTGGGAACAGGGTGGTGACCAGTGAGGGTCAGCAGTGCGGCTGTCTGAGACAGAAACTGGCTTTTGCAAGAACTTGGCGGGCTATGGGCCGTCTCTGTGGGGACTCTGAAGGGGTCCCCAAGACATCCTCACGGGATGAAGAAGCTCACCTGTCCCAATCCTGCTGGCCATTGAGCACAGGAGAAAGCAGACACTTCATGGAAGGTGATGGACTTGGCCATTCTCCTCTCCTCTCCAGTTAGCACAGTTGTGACCCTGGAACCCCATCTGTGTGACTACAGAAGCTCCTTGTGGTCTCTGTCTCAGCTGCATTTTGGTCTGGTCAACCTGTCTCAGGTCTGCCCTCTGGTGGCCAATGAGAATTGTGTGTATGTGGAACCTAGTGGACTCTGGCTTTGGGAGAGGGCCTTGGAGGTCATTTGTCCCAGTGTTCCAAAGTCTGCTTGTCCATCAGAATCACCTGGCCCCAGCTCAGTCCTCCTGACCAGAGCATGCAGCAGGAAGGCCCAGGAGTGATATTAAATAGTCTGCCTCTGGGCACTTAGCCACAGACTCAGCACA